ACTACATGGTAATTTTGTAGGACAAAGTATTCTGGACTAACAGTTTTAACCTTTTAGAATTGTGAATACTTCATTCTGCTGTCTTCTGGTTAGGTGCCCTCTAGATGAGGTACTTTTCTTTTTCACAATTTTTCCCCTAGCAGCCTTTGATATTTTTTCTTTATTGTTGACTTTTGATAATTTAACAATGGTGTGTCTTGGTGAAGGTAATTTTGCATTTAGAAATGGTGGATGTTCTTTCAGCTTCCTGGGTTTCCAATTCTTTACTTACATTTAGGAAATTCTCAGTATCTATTTCTTTGAATATGATTTCTGTCCCTCTTCCTACCCCTTCAGTAATATCCATTATTCTTATGTTTCCTCTTCTATTGGAATCTGGTATTTCTTATAGAATTTCTTTGTTTATCCTCAATCTTGTTTCTGTCTTCTTTGTATCTTCTATTTCAAAAATTCTCTCTTCACTTAGTTAAGGCTGTATAATATGCTTTCCAAATTTATTTTCATTTCATTCAAGTGCTTCATTTTGTGTTTTTATAATGCCTCTTTTAAGTGAACATTTGTGAAGATCATTTTTTAAAGACAGGAAATACAAATCTTTGTGGTCTATCGACCACAAAATAGAATGTGAATGTTCATGTGACAGTCTTTTATTTAAACAAACTTAATGCTGTATTAATGCATAGAATTGAAATATGAATTAAATGATATGAATCTCATGTTTAATGAAGTTTACTACTATTCTATAATTAAAGTTTCTGACTCTCTTAACCTTTTTGTTATTTCAGTTTCAGTAACATAATATCAGATATGAAAGTGGCCAGGTCTGCCACGGCTAGAGTCAGTACAAGACCAGTGCATCAGATTCAGTTTGACGAAGGTTCTAGTGATGATTCTCTTGCCCAGGAGAAGACTGTTGGTCCTAGAAAAAGGTATTCAGGCTTTTGAATCTATTTGTTCTTGTCTGTTAAACTGTAGATTTCTTTTATTTCCGTACATATTATTGCTGATGGAGTCTGAGTATTACAAATGCATTTTTATCTGTTACCTTTCTATTTGCCATTTCCTAGAGAGGGTTTAGCTCTCTTCAGTTTTCTATACAATAAATCAGAATGGACCCTGCCTCATCCTTACCCACAATGAATAGAGGCCTCCTGGTTGAGAATAAGTAGAGCTGACAGAGTTGTTAACAAATAAGTATTTTGCAAGGAACATTATTTTCATTCTCATATGTACTTAACAATGTATAGTCATATATTCATTGTATCTCTACATAGAGATATGAGTTTTCTTTCATCATACCTTTGAGAAATAATCCACCATCTGAGAAAGATACATTATAATATCTTAACGTGCAGATTATTTGTGGCAATTTGAATTTGGTAATTTGCAATTCTTAAAGATACTAAGCCTTGCCTTATAGTTACTTTATAATAGGAACTTACCTGTATTTATATAAAGTTTGTTTTTTCTCTTTTAAGCCCTGAAAGTTGTAATTGGGGAAAGATATTTAACTAACTCAACTTTATGGCAGGGTGACCTCATAATTGGCATTTTTTTTTTTTTAAAGATTTATTTATCTATTCATACAGAACGGGGTACAGGCCAGAGATGCGGAGGGTGACAGGCTTCACCAGAGACAGAGTGGGGAGCAGAACAGGCAGATTGACGAAGTACACTGCTGAGGGGAGCAGTGGGCGGATCAGGAGAGGTCTGCCACACCATGTAGATCACCTCCGGGGCAGGCGGGGATCGAACTCATGAGGAAGTGGCTTAAGCTTCTTAGTGCTGTGCTTTAACCCGCTGCATCACGAGGGAGGGCCCAATTGGCATGTTTTTAATGTATATTCCATGATTTTGTTTTAATTATAAACTTAGAAAACTTGACTTAGATCCTTCTGGATATTAAATTGCTAATTTGTATATGAAGATTGGAAAAGATGGATAATGGTTAACAAACTAAGTTTAAGAAGTTATAGTGACTAGGAGATTATTCAGATGACTGGTATAAAAGATTTTATATCTGGGCCCTCCCTGGTGGCGCAGCAGGTTAAAGCACAGCACTGAGAATCTACAGCCGCTTCTGCATGAGTTCGATTCCCGCCTGCCCCGGAGGTGACCTCATGGTGTGGCAGACCTCTCCTGGCCCGCCCACTGCTCCCCTCAGCAGTGTATTTCGTCGATCTGCCTGTTCTGCTCCCCCCTCTGTCTCTGGTGAAGCCTCTCACCGCCCCTGAGTCTCTGGCCTGTACCCCAGTTCTGTATGCACAAATAAATCTTTAAAAAAAAAAAAAAGATTTTATATCTATGATATATTATTAAATAAAATAGAATGTTTTCCTGAGATTCTTTAAGAATATTTAGCTTCATAGTTTAATTTGCAGTGTATTAGCTGTGGCAAGAGAGGAGCTTAAAAAGGTCGAAAATGGGTTGTGTGTACATATCTTGTCTATGTTGAAAAGCTGATAAAGAACTCAAAAATATGGAAAAACAACAGTAAGATATCAGTGGGCCATCTACTCTCACCTGAGACTACCTGAGGCATCCAGGCCTAGAATGACCAGCAAAAATACACCCTGTGCAGATTCCTTCAGTTAAAGGAAAATGTGCATCATAGAGCAATAACTTTGGAATCGCCCAGGCCTGCCCAACAATCTTGACACTGTATAGCTGACTGCGGTAACATCCATGGCCCCTGGGTTGGTTTCCCCATGTATAAGATGCTGAAGTGAATGCTACTTGAAATGACGTATTTGAGGGATAGAAAAGAAATGCAGGTAAACTACATATAGTCAGTGCATAGCAAAAGATTGTTTCCTTCCCCTTCACTACATTCTTCTTTTAAAACTGTGCTTTTCCAAATTATTGTCTCTTTACTGTACTTGTATGTATTTTATCATCCTGCTTACCGGGCAAGAAGCTCAGTGGGCGGAAGAATGCAAGACACAGGATAATTCTGGAGCCTAAATGCCTTTGTTTGCAAATACCTTGGTGACCTCCTAGAGTAAAATTTATTTGAGATCACTTTATCCAACCTTAATATGGTGTTTTCATTTTTTTCAGCTAGTTTAATTTGATGGAAAAATGTAGTTTTATCTAGAAAAAAATACAATATCATATTTGAAATTAACCCTCCAGTATATAGTTTTTTTTCCTACCAATAAATTTAATCAAGAATGTAAATAGATGCCTCAGCCAGTTTTAAAATATGCAGGAATGTGAATTGATGCCTCAGCCAGTTTTAAAATATGCAAGGAGAGTGGGCCTCCCTGGTGGCACAGGGTTAAGTCTCAACAATATGAAGCTTTCACCAGCCACTGTGGCCTGAGTACTGTCAAAGATAGAACTAACCCACATAGCACAGCGGACCTCACCTTTCTCACCCACTGTTCCCCTGAGCAGTATATTTCAGTAGATCCGCCTTTTCTGCTCCCTGCTCTGTGTCTGGTGAATATTCTCACCCGTCATACCTCTGGCATATACCCCAGTTCTTGTATGCATAAATAAATAAAAATAAATCTTTTAAAAAATACATATACATGTATACAAGAAGAGTTGTCTATTAGTTCTCTGACATAAACTTTTAATAGTTAAGTAAGAATACTGGATTTATGTAAAGAAATCATTTTTAAAGTTATTTCTTTGTAAGTGAGAATGTTTTTATTTATCTGTGCAAACTTTTGTAATTTATAATTAATTATTGCAGTGCTTTTACCTTTCCACTAAGTCAAATGTTGACTGTATCACCTTCTAATGAACATACTTTCATAGATTTCTAAAACATTAGATTTTCTAAATCACTAATAGGAAATGAATCAATAGTAAGGACAGATTGATCTGACATTATTTGGTTGATAATTTGGAAATTGAACTGCTCTAATTGATAAAGCAATTCAAATGCATTTTTAAAAAAGATTTACTTTATTTATTTATGCATACAAGAACTAGGTTGTAGGCCAAAGGTGTGGGGGTTGTGAGAAGATTCAGCAGGCAGTGGGGAGCCGAACAGGCAGATCTCCTGAAATACACTGCTCAGTGGCGCAGCAGGCAAGACAGGAGAGGTCTGCTGTGCCATGTGTTGGTTAGCTCCCTGGCGGGGTATTAAACTCATGGTGCCAGCAGTGGCTGGAATAGCCTGATAGCACTGAGATTTTTAATTCCTGCACTACCAGAAAGACCCCCTCAAGTGCATTTATGCTTGTTTTTAGTTATCAGTCCTAAAGACATGGGAATTTAAATGAAAATATCTGGGATGGGTCAGTGGAATTATTTTAAATTCTACAGTGAATTGTTCATGTAAAATTTTCTACTAAACAGCTTTTTGTTACAATATATAGGAATATTCATTAAATAAATGGTTTTTTTCTTTTTCATTTTTAGGAAAGATTTATTCAAGGGGAAGAGACTTAATATTTTTGAGATTAAGGTAGATACTGAAGAGGCACTTGAAACAGGTTTGTAAGAAAAGAACAGCACTTTTCCTATTTAGAAATACTCCATCTTTTTAAAATGTCCTTAATGTTTTCACTGAAAATATTCAGGTATTATAATATCCCATTGTATCATTGGCCTGCCTCCTTAATGAATGTAGTTGCTGACCTTGCTAGTATTGTCAGCTGTCCTTGCAATACAGCATTTTGGGAAGTAAGAACTACCAGTGAGTATAGAGCTACAAATTGGCTACAATTTCGGGTTTAGAATATGAATGGTTTCCTATCACTCACAACATATAGCTGTGTGGTTACACAAAAACAAATAAGTTGTGGTTCCTACCTTTAGGTACCTCACTCTCCAGAAGATGAGTTAGCTTTTGTAGAACTAACTACTGGGGTGATTTAGGGATTGTTTAGAAGGGAGGAAGAACATTCAGGGAGTATATTAGCAGACTTGTTGTAGTGGTTTTTTTTATTCCCTGTTTGTTACCCCGTTGAGTAAGAAGTCAGATTTACCATTTGAATCTAAGAAAAATAAGAGCATTCTCTATTTGATATTAATTTTGATTTATTGACAAATGATTTCTGGTTTACGATTTATTTTTGGGCTTGATAGAAATAATGTTATATTTGATATTTAGGTTTCAAGCCAGCCTCCAGTGGCTCACTGAATATTTCTGTCACTTATATAAACATCTGATTTTCCTACTTTTCAACCAACTCCTTGATTTTAGGGGGTAGTTCTTACCAATTTATGTTTTCCCTGCAGCAACTAGCCAGGTGACCAGATGGTTTCAGATAATAGGAGTTGGTTCTCTTAACTAAAGTCACTTATTAAAGTAACTCGTAAATAATTCTTTGAACAAATTGAACTATAAAATATATAAAGGGTTGTTACTTAAGTTTGTTCATTTAAACTATAAGCAAAGGAGGCCCTCCCTGGTGGTAGAAGGGGTTGAAGCACAGCACTATGAAACTATCCAGAGCCACTGAAGCATCAGTTGATCCCCAGCCAGGGAGGTGACCTCTCCTGTCTCACCTTCTACTCCCTTCAGCAGTGTATTTCAGTCAGTCTGCCTGTTCTGTTTCCCACTCTGTCTCTGGTGAACCCTCTCACCATCACCACCTTGCATTCTGGCCTATACCCCAGTTCTCATATGCATAAATAATAAAATCTTTAAAAAAAAAAAAAACAAAACTATAAGCAGAGCTTAAGAGACTAGCTCTCTTATATTGTTAGATATTTTCTGTCCTATAAGATGACAAGAAAATACAAAAGGCCCAGGCATGAAAAATGGATTCCCTCTCTTCTGTTGAAAGGGAATTTCCTCCAACTTAAAGGGAATTTGTGTTTAAGATAACTGCTATTGTCCTTCTAATGGACAGCCAGAAGAGGCACTTGGGCTCAATCATACTCCTAATATTGAAATTAGTTGCAAGAAAGTACTAAAGTTATATGTATATAAAGAAGTGTTAAATGAGTATACTGTAATAAGGAAAATAATGCACACATATATGTAAACTTTCTCTAATGAAGATACTATTTTAAAAAAGTAATGCTTACTTGAATTTAAAGAGTGTCATTTGTGTCCAGTTAAATACAAGAATAGCAACAGTTTGCAGACTTAAATTTAGGATTGTGCACTGCAGTCTCTCTACCATCTAAAATATTCCTGGCATGTAAATTGCTTGCAATAATTATTTATTGATTAGCTGAGTGAGCTTTTCTGCCCCATGGATTCCTACATGTTGCTCCTCATAAGTTTGTGGCCCTGCTGGAGAGGTTGTATTAATAGACATTGCTGAACATCCTTGCATAATCTAGAATTGAGAGGCAGTGTGGCTTAATGAATGTTGGTATTATATAGATCTGGATTAAAATTTAGAGCTACCAGGCTTCCCTGGTGGTGTAAGAGTTAAAATTTCAGTATCATGAAGCTATTACTGTGGGTGGCATGAGCCAGGGAGCTGACCCACATAGCACAGCAGACCTCTGCTGTCCCCTGAGCAGTGTGTTTCAGTAGATCCTCCTGTTCTCCTCCCTACTGTGTCCCTGGTAAATCCTCTCACCCCTGAACCTCAGGCCTACACCCCAATCTTGTATGCATAAATAAATAAAAATCTTAGAAAAAAACCTTAGAGGCCCTCCCTGGTGGCGCAGCGGGTTAAAACACAGCATTGAGAAGCTAAAGCCGCTTCCGCATGAGTGAGATTCCCGCCTGCCCCGGAGGTGACCACATGGTGTGGCAGACCTCTCCTGGCCCACCCGCTGCTCCCATCAGCAGTGTACTTCATTGATCTGCCTGTTCTGCTCCCTGCTCTGTCCCTGGTGAAGCCTCTCACCCTCCGCATCTCTGGCCTGTACCCCAGTTCTGTATGAATAAACAAATCTTAAAAAAAAAACTTTAGAGCTGCCACACAAATCTGTGCCTCCCTTTGCCTCTTATGAAATGAGGCTTATAAATATCAGGGATTAAATGAGAAAATGTAATTCCAGTGCTTGGAATTACAGTAGACATCCAATAAATCATCAAAGCTATTAGCAGTAGTATAATTATAGTAATAATAACATGGTAATGATGATGCTAGAAAAGATATAGATAGATTACTGTTCACTGATTAAATTTTTAAAATGTGGCCAAGATAATTGTTATTTTACAGTTAAAATTACTATATAAATGTGGCTAATTAAGCCTAACTGCTGTGATCTTTCTCTGTATAAGAGATTCTAGGCCAATAAAGCTAATATTCAATGGTCAGCACATAAAGGCTGATAGTAACAGATTAAAAACAATAACAAAAATTTCGTGTACAACACAAAATTAATTTTTGATTAATTAAATGACTAAATATAAAAATAAATATAACTTTTAGAAGAAAGCATAAGTGTATATATAAATAACTTTGTGGTAAGAAAAGTTATTGATATGTACATAAAAAAGAAAGCCAAAAAATTTTTAAATAAAAAATACAAGAGGTAAAATTAAGGCTTACCTTAAATGAGCAGTTCATTGGAATGCTTTAGAACATTGGTAGAAGTGGTAAAGAGGTGAGGAATAGAATAAATAGCATGTGATTCGTGCCTTTGACCCAGAAATTGTTTCTTAGGAATTTATTATAAGGAAATAACTACAGATGTGCATGCAAGTATAGCTATAAAGATATTTATCCTTACAGTGTTAACAAGAGAAATTATGTAAATGATCAAAATGTTCAAGTATAGGGGATTTGGGCCTCCCTGGTGGTTTAGAATGCTTAGTGCTGCCACCACAAAAGCCCACTGCAGTGGCCTGAGTTCCATCCCTGGCCAGGGAAGTGACCCACATGGCACAGCAGAGCTCTCCTGTGTCTCCTACTGCTGCTCGCCTTAGCAATGTATTTCAGTAGATCTGCCTGTTCTGCTCCCCACTCTGTCTCTGGTGAACCCTCTCACCACCCACTCCATACATCTGGCCTACCATCCAGTTCTTCTGCACAAAATAAATAAATTAGTCTTTTAAAAAAATGAATAGAGGACTGGTTTATTGTAATACATTGGAATGTGGGATATTAGTACAGTCATTGTTAAATGAAAAAGAGTAAACTATAAAATCCTCACTTACTTTAAAAAGTAAACTCACACCTAGAAAAAAAAATAAAGACATAAAATTTATAACTACAGAGTAAAATTTTAGGGAAAAGACTTGCTAAGAAACAAATATTGACATGGCTTTTTTTTTCAGTTGTATTGAGATACTATTTACACATAACAACTACATGCACTTAATGTATGCATTTAGATGGACTTTGACAAACATATACACCTGTGAAATTGCCTATCAAGATATTCAACATTTCTCTCACCCTCAAAAGTTTCCTGTGTTCCTTGGCACTGTCTTTTCTTCCCCTGTCGTTAGGCAGCTGTTGATGAGCCTTCTGTTGTATAAGTTAATTTGCATTTCCTAGAATTTTATATAGATGAATACAGTATATGCTCTTTTTTGTCTTGACTTTCACTCACAGTGATCCGAGATTTAGCCATAATATTGGCATATGCCAACAATTTCTTTTTATTGCTGACTAGTGTATGATTATATGGATGTATCACATTTTATATTCATTTTGCTCACTGATGGACATTTGGGCTGTTTCCAGTTTTTGCCTACCACAAATAAAGCTTCCTTTAACATTCATGTACAAGTCTTTGAGTTGGACAAGTTTTCTTTTATGTAAATCTAGGACTAAAGTGGTTGTGTTAAAGTATATTATTAACATTTTAAGAAATTGCCCAACTGTTAACCAAAATGGCTATGCAACTTTATATTCCTAACTGTAGTGACTAGTGAGAATATGACTCGATTCTTAAATTTCCAAATAAATGATTGAAACGTGAAGTAATGATCATAATAAGCTAACATTACCTTACTTGTAGGTTTGTTTGTGAGATTGAAGTAACTAGTGCATAAAAAATGTTTAGCATAAAGTAAATGCTCAGTATCTGTTAGTGTTATTATCATTATTATTATTATTATTATGTACTATTAATAGTTAATTTAACATCTTTGTTAGTACATTAGTAACTTAGTTGTTAAAAGATCAAAGTCATATGTATTATAAAAAATATTCACAATCATAAAGTTATCCTTGAAATAATTACTTTTTCCCTTTCAGTGTGGGGGAGAGAGCAGTGAGACTTTAGGAGTTGATTATCTAGTATTATAGTAAAACAACAGTTGAGCCTATTAATTATTGTAGTGTGGTCTTTATATGTCATTTTTTATTTCAATTTTAGTGCTTATAGAATGACCTTTTATTATGTACTGTAATGATGTATGTCAAGGTTTGAAAAAAAAACCTAATCAGTTCAGAACTGATTATAAACATTTGTGAAAAGAAAGGCATTTACATTACATTGACTTTTACTTATGTGAGGTATTTTACTACACAGAGACAACACCTTCACTTTGGGATGTGGAATTTGCTAAGCAGTTAGCCGCAATAAATGAACAGCCCTTTCAAAATGGCTTTGAAGAGATGATCCAGTGGACAAAAGAGGGGAAACTCTGGCAGTTTCCAATTAATAATGAAGCAGGTAAGTTTTACTTTCAGAGATTTATAAAATTCAGTGATTATATTATTTCTGGCAGATGTTCAATTGCAGAATCTATGTAGTTATATGAATTCAGAACTTTTTACAATATCTTCATGGCATCCTAAAAGAATCTGACAATGTTTTATTTATTTATTTTAAAGATTTATTTATTTATGTATACAAGAACTGAGGTATAGGACCCTCTCTGGTGGCACAACAGGTGAAAGCACAGCACTGTGAAGCTGGCCCCAACAGCCTCAACATGAGCTCTATTCCCAGTCAGGGAGCTGACCCACATGGCAAGGCAGACTTTTACCTCGCCTGCTGCTCCCCTCAGCAGTGTACTTTATTGGTCTGTCTGTTCTGCTCCTCACTCTGTCTCTGGTGAATCCTCTTAACACCCATGCATCTCTGGCCTGTACCCCTGTTCTGTATTTATAAATAAATCTTCAAAAAAAAAAGAACTGGGGTACAGGCCAGAGGTGTGGGGGTCAGGGTGAGAAGATTCAGAGACAAGAGTGGGGAACAGAACAGGAAGATTAACTAAAATATACTGCTGAGGGGAGCAGCCAGGCAGGACAAGAGAGGTCTGTCATGCCTTATGGGTCACCTCCCTGGCTGAGGATCAAACTTATGTTGCAGTGGCTGCGTATAGTTTTATAGTGCTTCGCTTTAACCCCTTGTGCCACCAGGGAGGGCCCTGACAATGTTTTTAAAAAGAATGTTGGAATTTCACTTAATTCTAGTTGTTTGATAAGGATAATGAAGAAATGAGATTGCGTCACAAAATGCTTTCTGAATTTCCATGATACAGTGTGGAAAACTACAAATGATGACAGTTTTCTAGTTGCCAAGGAGAAGATTACCTGATAAATTTTTTGATACATTAAATATTGGGTGTAAGATAGTATTTATAATTTTGGAGAACATTATGACTCATAAAGTCTTATGTTGGTATATTTTATTCATGAAACCATTGCTGCATTAATGAAATGCAGGGTATTTGCTCTCAAAGCCATGCAAAGCAAAACATTCAGACACTTTGAAATTCTGTGGAACTCTGACTACATAATTGGGTACTTAAGCTATAATAAACTATCGTTTATTTCCCTGGAAATTTTTTAGGAAATGTTACCTCTTATTCAAAAGGAAAACAGTATTACTATGCTATTTTTCTTTTATTGCAATCCATGTAGACATCAACTAAACATTTGTGCCAAATTTTATAGCTATGTTTTCAGCTAGATCCATTTATTTTATGAAAAATAAGCTACAAATTGTAAATACCAAAAAAGTTAGGAAACTACAGTCCACTTTTTTTTTTTTTAATTTTTATATTAGGCTGCCACTAAAATATTTTAATTTCTGATAACCTTTTATTTGAATTAATAAGTGGAATGGAAGCTTAAAAATTAGTAATTTTTTAAATCAGTAATATTTAGTTTTATATTTTTATAAAGTATTACTTTGTACCAGAAAACTTTAGAGATTTAAATAACCTTTAGCAAAGTCCTTAATATTGTATATTTATATGGTATATACAGTAATATAGATAGCATGCTATTTTACATCTATTATATAGCGGGGTTTTTTTGTTTGTTTTTTTTATCCTTACAGACTAGGGTATAGGCCAGAGGTGTGGTAGGTGAGAGGACTCACCAGAGACAGAGTGGGGAGCAGAATAGGCAGACTGACAAAGTACACTGTTGAAGGTAGCAGCGGGCAGGTCAGAAAAGGTCTGCCATGCCACATGGGTCAATTCCCTGATGGGGGATTGAACTGGTGCTGCAGTGGCTTGTGAGAACTTCATAATGCAGTGCTTTAACCCATTGTGCCACCAGGGAGAGCTCTAGCATATTTTTTTTTAAGATTTAGTATTATTTATGCACATAAGAACTGGGGTGTAGGCCAGAGGTGTGGGGGGTGAGCAGATTCATCAGAGACAGAGTGGGGAGCAGATAGGGTGGATCTACTGAAACACACGAGGAGCAGGTGAGACAGGAGAGGCCTGCTTTGCCATGTAGGTCAGATCCCTGGCCAGTGGTTGGGGATCAAACTTAGGCTGCAGTGGCTAGTTTTAAGCATGATAGCAATGAGACTTTAACCCCTGCACTATTAGGGAGGCCCTATTAATTAGGCCTTATCATATAATATATTTCTTGAACTGTCATGGTTTTTATATTCTAGAAGGCATCAGGGTAGTTAAAAGGACTCAAGGTTTTGTTCTCTGTTTTTTAACAGTGTCTCATAGTTTTTGTTGTATATAGGTCTTTCAGTTCCTTTATTAAATTTATCCCTTGGTATTTGATTCTTTTTGATGCAACTATAAACAAGGTTCTTAATTTATTTTTCCTTCTATTTGTAGGAGTGCAACAAATTTTTGTGTATTGATTGTGTAACCTATCACAGTATTATTGCATTGTTTCCAATAGTTCCTTATTGAAGTATTTAGGGTTTTCTAACTAAACTATCATCTGCATCACTTCTTTGCCAATCTGGAGTCCTTTTACTTTTGTTGTTTTCTGATTGTTTATGATTAAGACCTCTAACTAAATAAATAGAAGCTGTATATGGTGAGAATGGGGCACCCTTACCTTATTTCTGATCTTAAAGGAACACTTTCAGTTTTTCACTGTTGAGTATATTAGCTGTGTGTTTATTATATTATATTGAGGTATTTCCCTTCTGTTTCTTTTCTTTCTTTCTTTCTTTCTTTTTTTTCATTTTTATCCTGAATGGTTGCTGACCTTATAAGTGCTTTCTTTGCCTTTATTTATATGAGCATATGATTTTTGTCCTCCTTTTGTTGATGTGATGAATTATATTAATTGATTTGTATATGTTGAGCCATCCTTGCATCTGTGAAGTGAATTCCACCTGGGCACAGCGTATGGGTCCTTGTAATGTACTGTTGAATTGCTAGTATTTTGTTGTGAATTTTTGCATCCTTTTTCATCAGTGATAATGGTCTGCAATATTTACTTTTGGGGGGAAGAGTTTGAGAATAGCCAGTATAAGTTTTGTTAAGGATTGGTAGAACTCAATAGCTGTCTGGTCCTAGACTTTGTTTTATGGGAGATTTTTTTTCTTTTTACTGTTTCCAAATAATAAGTATTTACTTATATTTACTACCATTTTATTATTTTTCTTGGATATTTTGTGATTTCTCTGTCTTTTTATTTTCTCTTATTCGCTCCTATTATGCTTAGATGTCTTTTTGTGTTATTTCAATTTCCTTTCCAATTTCTTATGTGTCCTTTATAGGTTTTTATTTTGAGGTTATCACAAGTTTATGCATAAGATTCTATGTTTAAAGCTTACTGGAGACCTCCCTGGTGGACTGGGGGTTAAGTTTCAGTGCTATCACCACTACAGCCTGACTTCGATCCCTGGCCAAGGAGCTGACCTACATATGTTTTGCCTGCTGCTCCCATTAGAGTATATTTCAGTAAATCTGCCTGTTGTGCTTACTCAGCTATTTTTAGTGACTCTTCTCACACGTGCACAGACACCTTCCCCTGCACCTTTAACCTACAATATGTTGGGTGAATTGATTTTTTTTTTTTAGCTCATTCTAATACTCCACATTTTTATTTCTCCTCCCAATATTGTATGTTTTTGTTTTCTTGCTACATCTAACCAGAATTTCTTTACAGTTTGTAAGAGTTATTTTAGTATTTCCCACAAGGCTGGTTTAGTCGTGATGAATCCCTTTAATTTTTGTTTGTCAAGTCTTTTTTCCACCTTTGAATTCTGACATACAGCCTAGTAGAGTAGAATGTAATCAGTTTCAGCACTTTTAATATGCCATGCAATTTCCTTCTAGCCTGCAAGGTTTCTGCCATGAAATCTGCAGATAATCTTTAAGGGTTTCCTTGTGTATGATTCATTTTTCTCTACATGCATTTAGTGTTACCTACTTATCTTTAATTTTTGCCACTTTGATTATTACATTTTGAAGTGTTCTGTCATAAAACTTCGGTGTTCCAAGTCCTCATGGTTAAAAACATTATATTAAAACACAGTACTGATGTAGAATAACATGAAGAGATGTGGTGAAGTATAGTGGTTAGGAATTCACGCTCCTGTGATGGGGATAATAATGGGACCAAACTTTATAAGATTCTTCTTGAGGATCAAGTAAAACACCATTACCAGCATCACTCCAGTTTCTATGAGTGATTTGCTACTTCTAATTCTTTTATATTTTTTAAATCTTAAAATATTAACAAGGGTATTATGTAGTTTTTAGGAACCACCAAGTAGAATAATAGAAAAGCATGAGCTGATGCTGTCAGCAACAGGAAAAATGCTTGTGTTTACTAAATATTTAGTATCCAAATTCCAAAGGAACTTGTCTTAAATTTGACTTGATTTATGAAAAAGATTAATTTCTACAAAAAGGTCTAAAACAGGGCTTTGCTAGGGTGGGAAGAATAAATGTGACAAGTATCCATATATACACTTGTACTTATTATTGATGTTTCAGAGTCAGAAAGGGAGGAATTTCACTTCTAGCTCTTTAAGGCAATAATTATTTGAAGGAAATAGGAAAGAAACCTTGGAAACTATTACTTTGACCACTTACTCCCTCAGTACACATTTAAGAACTAAATACTTCAAGAGAAAAACATTAGAACCTAAGGTCTCAACAGTTCAGTCACTTCTTTTTATGTATCTTATACTTAAAATTTTAAATTAATAAGAATGTTCTCTGCTAATAATTAACTTCATGAAGATTTACTTTGATACTTCTGGAGAAAGATGTTTTAGGAGTTTACAATGTCATTTTTGGAAAATAATTCTGAAAATGACAAAATTATGTGTCCTGTGCGTACAGTTTTACTTCCCAGTGTTGTGTTTTCTGTTTTATAACTATAGTTTATTGTTCTGCCACTAAGAATATAAATTATTTTTCCAATTCAGAGTCGGTTTTTTTCAGTTTTTGTTTTCAGAACTGATTTCTTCCTTCTGATGTCCTTTGCCACAGTAGAGAACTG